TGCATTTTATATTTTAATGCCTTAAAAATGGTCAAATCTATGCTTTATTGTTGATTTTTCTACGCTAACAACCTGTTTATTTTCATATATACATCTATATCCTAGAGTAAATTCACTTGCCCTCCTTCAATTTATATTCATTTAACTACAAGCGGGGTGATTCTTCCTCAACTCACCCTCATTTGTAATGCAATAATCCTCCCTATTGAAGGGTCTAACCTTCTCCATAATAGACTCACCCTATTGGGTTGTTATTCCCTTACATCATGCCTGTTCTTGTGGGCTATTTTGGACACATTTTCTAGAATATATTATACAGAAAAATTAAGTTATATCAAACCAAATTATCTTGGGGTGATGTTAGTCAGGGTTTTCTGTTATAAACGACCCAAATATATCGTACACCTGATCCAAAAATTATTTTTACAACCCATTCCGTTACTCATAAAAATAAATGTCCTCCCATGCCTTAATGGTGCAGTAATAGTAAGCTGTAATTGGCCTGATCAGAAAATGGATCCCTGATAAACATCAGTATCCTGTAAATGTCCCTATAATTCTTCCACTAGATATTCTGTAGGGAGATTTCCCCGTTTTGTATTTAGAAGAGATAAAGCCCCCCCATGAATCTTTCTACGTATTTGTGGGTATGTTTGACTTTATGGTCTACTTTTATCGTTCTGATATCAGCTATGGTGTCAAGGAAACTCCCATAAAGTGTCATTCCTGCTTCGGGTCTTAAGTAAATGATATAAGTCAGCATTCTACAACTATTTCCTGGAGCCTTTCCTCCATCCAAGATGTCTGAACTTTGTTTTCTTCTGCCTTTTTATCCATTTTATCTGATTTTCTTGCTGGAAAATGTCGTAGAAAAGTAATTTTTAAGACAAAAAATATGTATTTTTATCATTTTTATCAACTTTTCTGTACTTTTTCTCGTATCCTAATGGTTTTTTTCAACATTCGTCAGCGAAAACTTATTTTTTTTCTTTTCTTTTCGAGTAATAATACTCTTCTATAGCTAAAAACCGAACTTTTCTCTAATATTTTTAATTAAATATCAGTTTTTTTTGCATTTAAAATGTATAAAATGTGCAAAATAATGCTTAAAGTAGCTTTCGCAACGATCGCTTCGCGTCGCGTAGTGCTTAGCTTACTCACTAATAAATTAATTATAATAAAGTTTTTAGTTGTGTATAAAGAATTTATAAAAGTTTCCAGCGCAATTTTTAATAAAATTTGTGAATTTATAATGTAAATAACGAAGCAGTCATGTAATTACTCTTTAAGGATAAACGGAGAAGCGCGCGGAGCGATGCGACGCGACACGCGTTATCAGTAAATTACACACTAAAAAATAGATAAAAGAATTAAAATAATTTACGATTTTAGTACAATTTTATATAATAAATCTTATAATTCTTTTCTAACAGCACTAATTATTAAATAAATTAAAGATTTAATTCGATTGAAGGTCATCAACACGCGCTCACCAACTAAGCAAAGAAATTACTTATTTACAAAAAAAAATAAACCCCCAACATAAAAAAAAACAGAAAAAAATAAAAAAACACTCCTTCCCCCACCAATTTAATACAATTTTACAACAATAAATCTTAAATTTTATTAGAAAAATGATTAATTTACACAGCACACGAATGGAATCTTAATGAAGTAACACGTAAAATAAGCGATAAATAAAACTAAATAACTAAGAAAATTAATTAATTTAATATTTGAATAAATAAAAAACTTTATCCTTTATCAATTAATACATTTCTTATTCGATAATCTTCTAGAGATTTTCGTATAAAATGAATTTTCTAACTAGTTTCCTTGGATAGGCAGAGTTTGGTATCTGCCTTCAGAAACTAGTTTAAGTTCACATTTTAATTTAGATTCTTAGTATTTTTCAATATAAAAAGAACACATTCATCGATCCATACACTGTGTATTTCATCTTACAAGTACGGTGGTTTATTACGTTTGTAGAAGAAGAACCTTATCCTTGATTCATTCAACTGCCGGAGCACTTATTGATCTGGTATGTTTGTCGACTACAACTCAGTCAATCTTCAGCCATAAAATATCGTTTTATCTATCAAAAACGTCGTATTTACTTCCAACGTCTTTGCTTTCCAACGATTCTTTTCGTCTTCGCACATATCAGCAGTTTGTTTCATTTTGAAAGAATTTTTCTTAAATCCATTCTACTTGCTTCGATATTATTTATTAAATTGTAAGATTTAAGCTGAAAAATCTTTACGTTTATGAAATTTGTGTAATTTTCCAGGCTCTATTTGCAATTTTTCAGGCTCTATTTACAATTTTTCAGGCTCTATTTGCAATTTTTCAGGCTCTAGTTTTGCACATTTGTAAGCTCTAATTACATTTTTACACGTGTATTAATTGAGGTTTCGAGTTAACAGAACCTTAATACCTGCCTTATTTAGGATATTACCTGATTCTGTTCCATATATGATCCTATAATTAACCTTATCGTCTTTATGCCTCATACTTAAAAAGCCTCATTGATGACTGTAATGTCTTTCTTACTACTCTTCTCTTAAGTATCTGATTAGCTTAGCTTGTAAAGCCTGGTCAAGTAATTTCTAATTTCTTAATAATTTCCTAATTAATTCTCTACTGACTGTTGATCATATTGTGTTTATGATTTAAGGGGTTATGAGATTGTTTCATTGCTTTATTTACAGTAGTTTAACCTGTTTCTTGTCGCTATTCTAAGTTAGTATTTGATTAAAAGATGCTTAAAGGAAACCTTATTTACGATAATGCTTGATTAATTAGTGTATAGAGTGTTGTAGTTAAGATATACTTGATTATCTCCTATCTGTGAAGCCTCACTTAAATAGAAACCTGATTATCTATACCTTACTTAAGGTATTCAATCTCGCATGTAATGCCTTACTTATAATGTTACCTGAATAAACGATTACCATATATATATATATATACACCTAAGACATTTTCTATATTGTATACTACAGTACTTATGGTAATAGGTAAGTTAATTAAGATGTTATCTTATTATATTTATGACACTTAATTAAAGACGATATTTTTTATTATGCCCTATTTTAAGACGATATCTGATTAAAATATATATTTATGACACTGTAAGATTGTATCTAAGCATCCCATGCCTATGATACCTCACTTAAAACAATGTCAGACATCTTCATCTCTTCATGATGCTATCTAATCAGTGAATTTAATGTAATAATCTTTAATATCTAAATTTAAATTAGTAATTTTTGGACGTTTTTCATGGAGTGCAACACGTTAAATCAATAATTTCCCTTTTTTAAAGCTGTTTAATTCGTTATAAAACTTAAAATTTCATCGTGATAAGTACTAGAACGAAAAAAATCCCCCGTATAATTACTTGCAGCATCGAAAATACTTTAAAAGAGGAGCATTTCTTGAAGTAGTGTGATTAAACTACTCATTATTTTCCATTTATTGACGGTTGTTAAAGGTATGTTGCCTTAAATGTCTTTGTTATACGGCATAGAAAACATAAAACATAAGTAAAATCTTTTATTTAAAACATATTCTGCACAGTAATTATTGCCCCATCGACTTAATTCGATACAAAATGAACCATTTACAGAGTCACCGAGCCTCATAAACGATTGAAAACTTCGATAACTTCTCACGAAAATGCTCTACTAACTATGATATAATTAAATCCACTAAATTAACATTATTAAGTAAAAATTAATTAATTTTCTATACATAAATTTCATTTTCTATTATTTTACAAGGGTTGAATGCGCTAATTAACACAGAAAACAAGTGAAAATTCTCGTGTAGTAAGCATTAAATTTACTCTTATGTTAAGTCTATGTTAAATTTTACATAGTGCTTTCAGTTATTATGTAAATGTTATAATATATGCCCCATTATAAACATGACTCTAACCTATTTGAAAAGATTCTGAGGTTATGAATCATAGGTATGTCCCATATAATCTGTTTTATGGACAAGCTTGACAGCTTTCAATGAAATTAAATATCCTAGCTAATCATAAGTTTTAATATCTATAAAACCCCGAAATATTTTTATAACGTAATAAATAATATAATAATTAATCTATAAAGTTTATATGTTCTTACAGTGTTCTTGTGAATGAGCTATAGTAAACATCATTTCGTTATCCTTGATCTTCTCGTAAATTAGAAAAAACAGATGATTTTAATTATATGAATTTATCTTTAGATCCATCAGAGATGCTCCATCTTTAGATATGTCAAAGATGCCCCACTTAAATGCGTTGTAATATGCCCCACTCCTAAATGAATCAGGCAATTCCAATATAATGACGAGATATTTTAATAAATAAATTCATATTCTTCATGATGATGATGATGATGATGATGTATACCTTAAAATGAGTTTCTATATTAAATTTTTCATTAAAATTTTGGCCCATTTTACCTCTAAAACCTCACAAAAAACGAAGCATAGTTCCTAATTACATACACTAACTAATAGGTAGCAAATTAATGAATTTAAATCCCTTAAAATGAATTAAATTAAAAGAATAATGCTAAAAATAAATAATTAAAAGTTTAATCTCGTGTTTAATCCCCGAATAATATCTTAATGAATTCGTTTTCTTTTTTTTTTCTTCTTCTTCTTCATCCTTTACTCCTGGATTAAAAACATTTCCTACCTCACAAGAGAGTCGGTTTTCCAAGCGCAGTTAACATTCCCTATCTTAATTTAAAATTAAAGATGTTTTATAGGATAAAGACAAAAGATAGAACAGAGCAATGACGTTACTTGAAGAAAGTATAAACTTTAGCAACGTTAAAACCGGGTAACTTTATCCGTAGGATTAACGCGATGTTCCAATTTTTATAGCTCTCCGGATAAAAGTTGAAGGTATTTTTTGTAGTTCTAAAGATAAGATTTTTCTCCTCTTTTCTTTAAAGGAATCTCTTCTATACAACTCTTACAAACATACACATCACGGATTTTCTAAGGCGAAATAAATTGAGGTGCTGTAAAACTCGAATCAAAATCTTCAAATAAATTAGGAAAGAAGGTAGGAAGAAATGTTATTTTTTTCTTTAAATTTAATTTTATTATTNATTCAATTGGTTTATAAGTAATAATCAAATAACTTCTAGGAAATTCTAAGTAAAAAAATTACAAATAAATATACACTTTTTAAATTCAATATTATACAAAGCAGTAGAAATACTTTCAGAATGTTCAGAACATAAAATTAGTTAAACAATACTAGAAAACAAGTTCAAAAAAATTGAGATTTTATTTTTAAAATTTAGATTTTATTCACCATTACATAAGAAGTATACACGTATACTTATTTATAATATGTAGGTACATAAACACCTTTTCTAGATACAGCTGCCATCTTTTGCGTGTAAATTAAACTAGAATGCTTTAAAAAGAAGGTGACGAATATTGTTAAAATTTAATCTTTTATCAATGAAAGGGGAGAGAGAAAGAGAGAGAGAATCTCGTGTTTGTGTGAGTTGATAAAGATTCAAGTCGTCATCTCTGCTGATTCTCGAGGGCATTGTTCTTTGAAAAATTTACTGAAAAGCTTTACCACAGAACAATAGAGCTGTTATCATAGCGATAAACTTGCCCTACCCTTTTTACACCCCTTTTTTTTTATTTATTTATTTTTTCTTTCTCTCCTCCTATCTATACATAGAATACTAATATTAAAGCTGATCTTAGGGTAGGGAAGCTCAAGATCAGATACAACTCTACTATGATATAACTCGAGCATTGTCTGATAGAAAGTTTTAAGTTGATTTATCTGTTCATGTAAATGTAGTTAAAGATAAAGCTTTGTGTGCGGTACCTGGAGGCATTAGATTATACACTTTTAAACATTTTATATAACTTTAAAGCATCTCTCTCTGTTGATAAAGTTTGAAGTTGTTACACGCATTTTTCTATTGAAATTTTGAATGTTTTGACCTGTCTGAATGCTTAAAAATCCTTTGAGAAAGGTAAAAAAAAAACTTAATAATTCTATTCTTTTATAAAAATATTTTAAAAGGAAGCCCTTAAGGTGTGTTTACATTTTGATATAATTGCAGTTAATTAGGCTGCTTCTAGACAAACAAGCAGATTTTTTTATTATCTTAAGTAAGAAGAAAGAAAGAAGATAAATAAAGCAAAATATCTTTGCAAAACTTTAAAGAAATTAAAATTTAATATAAGAAATTATCTCTTTACATTCTTTAGGGATGATAGAGAAATATTAAAGTAAGGAAGAGCAGAAATTCCCTCCAAATTCTCTTCACAATTATAATTAAAATATTAATTTTATTAAAGGATATTAGAGAAATTGAAGCAAGAATTAACACAATAACTTCGTACAAATTCCCTAAATTTTAGGGGAAATAAGTTATTTAGGGACTTAATATATAATTGAAGAAATTTCCCTAAAACTTAGTTTAATTTCCTTGGAATTTCTTAAAGAAATTAGAGGATAAAGAAATTAAAATTTTCAGATAGAATTTTTTTTTAAGATTTCCAGAGGAAGACTCAAGAATTATAATTCAAAATACAGAAAAATTTCCTGATTTTTCCCTAAAGAATTTAAAATAAAGTTAGAAAAACACTGTTTAATTTCTTAAAGCGAGTTTAAGAATATTAAAATTAAGGATAAATGCATGAAGATTTCTTTCCTGAAAGGAAAATATATATGTATCTTATGGTTCCTAAAAAACAATAAATCTTATTTTTATCGAATCATATCAGACTCGAGATAGGATGAACGATAATGGAACAATAACATATAACAGATAGTTTGCCTTAAGAACACAAAGCCCTATTAATGAGGCCCCCATACTTTATTAAAGTTATCCAACGGCATAAAGACCTCATAAATCACTTTATAGGAGGTTCTATATCAAAACAGGTATATCGCCACCCTGAAGGGATGATAAAACATTTTAAAGTCGACCCACGCCAAATTTTTATTATGCAAAATCCATAGGAACACTTTTAACAACGTGTCAATATCCAACTACAGTTCAAGAATTCTCCCCCTCCCCCTCGTATAAGTAAATGAATGTATCACCTATTAGAAATTAGAGATAATCAATGGGGGGTAGGAAGAAGAAGAAGGAAAAAAATGAGGACGACGAGTGAGAAGAATAAAACGGATATGACGACACAACTATTGATCCGTTCTTATCTCGCGGGAACCTGCGAAACTTTTAAGATCCGACTGAGGAAACAAGTCTTGTCTTCTGATCAAGTAAAATCCTCATACTCTGATAAGGCTCCCTGTTTGCTAAGATAACACTCTGTACACCGCAACTATAGGAAATCATTCAGGTCAAGCAAGGATTTAGATACATCTACTTTTCATTGTCTTCTTGTTTCTCTCTAATACCCCCCTACTGATAAAACATTAGATGGGCTAAAAATTTACAAAAATTGATTTTTAAACTTACGATTTAATTCCGTGATTCATGAGTTTACTCTTCGCACCCCTTTCTTTAAAAGTGTAATCGATTCTCTTAAATGGCACCCCCTCTCTCTTAGGTGATCAAAAAGTCTCCTCCTTTATCAAGATATAGATGTAAAGTTGCCTTATCTTTATAAATAAAGTGACTATTTAGCCCTTAGAATAGCTTCCTGTTTTTGTAAGTTGAAGAGCCTTCTACTAGACTGCAATTCCTCCACTCCTTTTTTTTTGTGGTTTAAAAAAAGAGGTCTTTTGAGGAAGATCACGCTAAGCCACCATAAAGCAAAATTTACTATTCTCTTCTACTCTAGAGAATTACCACGGATGGATAGCCCACTCACCAAGGAAGTGATGCGGCCTACCAACTTCCTGTCTAGAGAAAGAGATTACCATTCGGGAAAGCCCAACTTCCGGTAAAGCTATGTCAGAGGAACCACCTCACTACCAAACAACTCTTCTTCATATCGTCACAATGTCTCACATCCATTTATCTTTTATTTATGAACAGATTAAAAGAAGAAACATTAATAAGAAAATCATCAGAATTCTTTCTCTCTCTTTCTTCCATTCTTGCTCTTCCGCATCCTTTCGGAAACGTTACACTCGAAGCCATTTAGTGAGAAGAATAAAGTAACTATACACAATATCTTATTTTTTAAGATTAAAGGAAGTATTTTTCTTTAATTTTACTGAGAAATAATGGCAGATGTTGTTAAATAGTTGAGAATTATTATATTTTTTTTCTCTTTCCTTCTTTCTACCGTGGGAATAAAATTTCTTGAAAAATTGAATTCTTTTCAAGATATAATAATACTCGACGGCTCTTTCTTGCAGATATAATCTGTCAGATGGACTGATTCACTCTCGAGTGTCACTTCTACTCGTACTAAACCATTGAACCCGCTTTCTGATTCTATTTGTATCTATCCGAGCGTAATGATTTGATTTACTAACTCCGATAGTCTCACCACCTGTCTTCTACTTACTGAAAACTCAACCTATGTATGGGGTTTAGAAACAATTTCAACTTCCCAGACATCATCATAGTGCTAGAATAAGAAACAATGTAGCCACTGTTCTTCAATAAAGAATTATTATCTTCGTGCAAGTGCTTCAGATAATAGGATTTCGCCGTATAATGCACACTTAAGACAAAGCTTCAGAAAAGTAATTTTTCCCGTTTATTCTTATAAATTTTTATTTATTTATTCTGTTTTTCTTACGTTTCATAATGATTACAGTCTAATTTATGATGTGAATTAATTTATAAGGTAGAAAATTGTAAAATTAAAGTAAAAAGTCAAGAAGATCTGCTGGAAGAACTTCATGATTTCCAAATGGCTCTTGTAAAAGAATTAATGAGAGATGTAACAAAAAGAAGGAAAAATAAAATATATAATATTTTCTATTGTAAAAAAAACTTGTAAATATTTTAAATAATAAAATAAATAATAATAATAAAATATTGTAACTCCTGTAATCTGAAGCAGAAGTTTCAAGTCTCAATCGAGGTTCCATAACACAGACGTCTGCAAACTCCTAAATTGATGATCAAAGGTAGGACTTTACCGAAAGGTATTCATGTAATTATCCCCCCGGAAGATATCCCAGAATGTAATGCGCTCGAACGACAATTTATTGATGATGATTTATGAGCGGGACCACAACCCAAGGTGTGGGATTAATATCGGTAGCGTGACATCACGCTGCCATTTTTTTAATACCACTCCTTGGCCTTGGTTGACCCTCGGATCGAATCGATATATATATATATATATATAAGGCGCTCTTCTACACAAAAATGAATGATTTATAGATTAAAAACGTCAGATAAATTGGGATAAATCAAACTAAAAGTATGCCATACACCTCTAGAACTTTCAACGTCCCTTTCTTTCATCTTTTCAATGCATCCCCGTTTCAATAGAGTTCGTATGTAGTGTTGAGAGTATAAGTTCCGCCCTATTCTAACACCCATTGATCCTTTACATTATTGTCCTTTAGGTGTGAGGAATAGAGGGAGAGGAGAAGAAGTGAAGCTACGACACGAGGTTCGAGTTTCTTCATTGTTTCTTGACTAGACCTGCGGTTACAAAGACTTTCTTGTTTGTCGCTGCCAACTATTCTCTGAGCCACTCCTGTGACATACAAATTGGCTTCAATAAGTAAAATGGATACACCTGATCACTTTGGCACAACTTCTATTCTGTGAACGTTTGCAAAAAGCATTGTATCACAAGAACACCTGGACTTTGTTAAGTTTTGCTTTTTATTGGGTTCGAGTTATTTTTAAAGGAGATGTTAGGGGAGGGAAAGATATGTAATTATTAGGTCCTATAATGCTTTTTTTCCTCTTTCTGATCTGCTCCAAGCCTGTAGTTTAGAAGCCGCCATCACAATAGTGGCCTTTGTAAGTAAACTATACTTGTACTTCCTAATTTTTTAAGATAAATTTACGGTAAATATCCTTCTAAACCCGGTTTAAGTATAAAAACAACATTCAATATATATAATTTGCATTAAATTTAAAATTTTGGTAACCTCAATGATTCAGCTGACAAAAAATGTTGCAAATAACGAGTTTAAACAGTTTTAAACGTGTTTAAACTTGAATTTCTTACATTATGATGAACTTAGTAATATAATATATTTATTTTAAATTTAAATTAAACATTTATAATTAAATTATAACGTATTTTTTCAAGTTATAACTGATACCCTTATTCTTATATCACCATCTGTTGAGGAAATTTATAACTAAAATACAATTTTTTTT